ATTATTAGTGTTAATTTACAGCCAGGCATACACTGTAAGATTTTTTGCCCTTTTTGGGCCGATTCTCCAGTCTTGTTAGAATTTTTCGACCGGGCCTACTTTCACAGCGGGTACAGGGGGTAACGAGGGGCGATCAGCCTCTAACGACCACCTCCACATCAGGAATCGTAAGGTCGGGAGGAAATCAAACATGTTTGAAAGTCAGTTGGCCGTCGCAAGGTGGTCGTGGGCAAATCGCTCACTGGGCAAACAAGGATTCTTCTTCTTCTTCCTCTCAGGGGAAAACAGAAGCATGGCGGGGGTACAATGAGTGAAATGGAGTTCTTTCTGTAAAATTCTACTTATTTGGCTTCCGGATATCTCACTGCAGAGATTTTAGACGTACAGTGTGAGCAGCTAGATCGCATCAGAGCGAGAACAAACATGGTGAGCTGTGAACTTTTAAACCCTGCAGTTTTGCCATACAGTGTGAGCTGTAGCTGCGTGCAAAGATTGAAAAAAATTGTACAGTGTATGCCCAACTTTACTTGCAAAAATAATCCATCTAGAATCTAATCAATTGTTTTAAGAATGTTGACGGGTCCAAAATATTAAAATATTTACTTCTGGTTAGGAAGCCAACATCCTGAAAGGATTCTGCACCAATAGGAACAGCAGGTTGAAGTCCTGCAAGCTGGAGTTGAGGTATTACCTAATAGCTCTGTGATAGAGCATATTTGTGACACTGAATTTTTAGATTCAAGCCAAAAAAACCAAACAAAAACGAAGTAAAAGCAGTTTGAACATCAGCTGGTAGCAACTTAAGGAAACAAAGAGGCTCAGAAGCTACACAGAAGTTTCAGCTTTTCTTCTGAACAGATAATTTATTAAATAATTATAATTAAATGAAATTAAATTTAATAGACCTGGTGATCGGTTCGGAAGTAGGTAAAAGCGCGTGTGTGCCACCTAGTGGCCTGGAGGAAATAAACTTGCAGTTATTTCTTAAAAGTAAAAAGTATGGTTCCATAAAACTATTCCTAAAACGCATATTGTTCTCGAATATTCCTCCACAAATGTAACTGAGTAAAAGTAACTACTTAATATCCACCTCTGCCCGTTAACCCTGCAGATTTATACTCAGAAACCAGGTCGTCGGCATGTGTGTCTCAGTGAATGCAGATGTGCCTCCAACCCCACCTTCTACAAATTAGGCAAAATTGGTGTTAAACGTTTGT